GACGTGATACCCGCATGTGTTGTCTCCGTCTTAGAAGTTCTAAAGTGCGTAACATAACAATTTTTACGCTCAGCATAACACGTCAGTTAAAAATTTATAGTGAATTGATCTCWAATAAAATTTAAAGGTAAGATTATTATCTAGCTAACTTCATAGGCTTTTTGTCATATTTTAATTTTAAAGCGAGTTATGAGTATTTTAAGACGTAAAAAATTATTACGCTCAAAACATTTTAGGGTCAAGGTAAATGCACATTTTAGAACATTGATGCAAACACGTTACATTTGTATATACACTTATAACTTATAAGTTACCCTATCTAATTTGTTTACATGTGCAGATAAAAAAAAAATCGTAATTATTTTCGGTAAATATCACAATATAAAAACCGACAATAATGGAATTATATTATGCGCCATCTATCTATTATCTATAAACTTCCTAAATATTGCATTTTATGTGTACATCTGTGTACGAATGTCATCTAAATGTTTGTCCCCTACACAAAAAGATTTATTGCAGGTAGTGATATATTATATCAATTTACTTAAGCGGAATTCAAATAAAAAATAATAGTTACTACCTACTAGTATACAATTCGATGACAGAAAAAATCTAACTAATAAATATATTCGTGTATTAGTACTTTTATGATGGAAACAAAATTTCCTATTCAAAACTATAATTAATTTATATGAATATCCTTTAAAATAGATAAGTTTTAACAAAGTTGATTCAGTTGTTTTGAAAMTTTAACAAAATTTTTTGTCATATTTTGTTTATATTTARATATAATATGCTGTAATTTATAAAGATGTCAAMATAGATAAATAATTTTATTCGGATGTCTGCAAAAACAAAAATTGATATATGGTTTATTTACCTAGATCAGGCCAAATGTATAAAGTATGACTACATTCTTGCTAAATCAATAAACTATTTTTCAGTCTTATAGAATTCCATCATTCAATTAACGGCGTTGGTTAATATTCCATTATTTATTAAATGTTATTAGTGTTAACAATATTTACTGTATAAAAATAATTATAAGCAGATGTTAAAATATAAATTTATTTGTACTATACACTTTGTATATGTATATCTTATATATAGATATTTTTGTATGTAACCGCATAAGACTTTATAGTATTAATGGGTAAATGTAAAAATATATATCCGTGGCATAAATTTTAACGATTCATAATATTATTCATAGTATTATTATTATTATTTTTCTACAATAAGTAACATGATTCGTGACCTATACAGTTCCTAGTTCCCGTGTATTATTATTATATGGGTACCTACTACCTACTAATAATATAATATAATATATATTATTAAGTACAATTAGATAATTAATTTTTTATTGTTTCTAGTTGAATGAGATGTAGGTACATCACGGGTTGTGTAAAAATAAAATAAAATATCATAATCAATATTTTCACGATTTGTTATGGTAGTCAAGCGGTACCTATAGGTAGCTAGGTAGCAAACACGATGAAGTCTTTTGTCATCTTTGTGGTTACACCGTGTAGGTTAGGTTAGGTCTTCACTATCATAAGTGGTTGCCGTGGCCCGGTGGTAAAAATTGACAAGTTCATTGCACGGGACGAACGGGTGTTGAGTGTACCTGCAGACTACAGTGTTAATCGTGGTGATGTGGTCCTATGCTTTTTTCGGAATTTTGTCATCAATGGTGTTTGGCCCAAGTGTCTGATCGGATCATCATAAATTTACACCTCCTCTAAGTCGGTACCTAGTAAGTAGTAGTAATGTTATATGCAACTCGGCGAATCATGTCCTATCGCCTATCAATGACAAATAATAATTATTGGCAGGTCGAGAGAGAGGGACTAACAGTTAGTCACTAACACGTCACTTAGACGATGAGGTTRGACCGGGCTCCAACGATCGGACAATCGAGCGTGTATCGTTCACTAGGTACCTACCTATTAACAAATAGTATTTATAGTTAATGAAAAGTTCGTAGTCGTAGGCACAAGTTACTATAATGGGTAAAATTGGATAGGAATCGTTTGGGTTTACAAAATTGTACATAACAATGACGTAACTATATGGTATAGGTAACAGTTTTTATCAATACTTTATACGTCCAGTAAAAAAAGTATACAACAAGCATAAAATGTACAAAAAGTTGGAAAACTTGACTTTTGATTAAATTGTTGGTTTGAAAATCTATATAATATGAAGGTAGAGATATAAGCAACTTGCACCGACTAATGCGTTTGAACGGTGTATGCGTTTTATTTGCTCAACGTTTTGAATGAACACGAATGTATTATGTAATATGTATACAGCATACAACATCAAAGACTAGTAGCGGAACTTTAAAAATTTATTATAGGGAATCATGGGAAGCGATTTTAATTTAATAATCTATTTTCCAATCAACAACACGTCAGTGATTTGTGATCATACCGTTTGTCAAAAGTTTAATATACATTAAATTTCAATTAAAAAAAATAAACGATATTATGTTCATCGTTCGTTATCCAATTTAATGTTATTATATTCAGTATATTATCTACTGTATGTCGATAATAACACGTTAAAAT